GGATTGGAGCAACAAAGAATAAAAAGAGAAGAAATAGAGATAAAAGCACTTTCTCTCTCTTTCTCTCTTTCTTTTAAAATGTAATTTTTATCTTCAGATTTCCCTTTAAATAAATTTAAGGTTTCTTCTGTGTGTAATTTAATGCAATTTATATTTTCTCTTCTCTCTTTCTTACGCGCGTGAGCGATACATAAATGTATTAGATTATATAAACCGCACAGAACAATTTTAAATTTATTTAAAAAGAAGAATAAAAGTTACGAGTGTCTTATATACATATCTCTATTTCTTTTTTATTTATTATATATATATATTGCAGGTTTGTTGTCAAATTAACATTCTTATAATGAACTTAATCATTTTATAAAGCATCGAATTTTTATAAGCAAATTTTTTTTTATAAGAAAGATTGTAAAAAGAACTTTATTATTCAAATCGATATTAATTTGCAGGTTGAATAAGAGATTTAAATAATGACTAATATCACCATCTGCATGCATATTCGCTTCTTTATCAGATCCTTGATAGTTATTTCGAAAAAAAGGGAGAGGGAAGAGAAGCGACGTTCTCTGTTCTAGCTGAGGCGCGCTTCAGCGATATTTTCTACATGACCGGGATTTACGCGAAAATGGTGTTTCGCAGGCGGTGTATTCAACGCAAAAGCGGAGAGTGCTAAATCAGACCGGCACGGCATGTCTCTCTCTCTCGTATCGAATCGGGCTGCATAAACGCGTCTCGCGTTGCTTTCCGTCGCAAAATTCGATTCGCAGAGTTCGTCGTTGCATGAAACCTAACGATAATCCGAACCGCACACACGCGGTTTGACTTAGACTCTCCTTTGGCTTCCTCCGAGCTCAATTTTTGCTTTTCTCTCTCTCTCTCTCCCTCTTTTTTTTTAAAGAAGGAGAAAGAGGGCAAGAAAGGGAGAGAGAATTGCCGCTGCCGCCACCGCGAGAGGAGTTTAAAGGTAAACGGGTTTCTCTCTCTCTCTCTCTCTCTCTCTCTCTCTCTCTCTTTCTTTTTTTTCTTGTTTTGCGCGGGTGTCCTTTTTCTGGAAAAACGTGAAAAAATTTGGACGCCTAAGGGATTTCTTTTGAACCTGGAAAAAAATCAGGATATTGTCATGGAATTTTATGGAGACTCAGACAGGATTGGCAAAATTCCACATTTTTTGCCAGTGGTGAAAACCGGTATTTTCCGGAAAAACCGGCAAAAAATGGCCTTTTCTATGAAAAATGTTAAAATAAACAAAAAATATTTTTATCTATATTCGTCACTTGAGAGAGTGACTCAGTGACTCTGGGAATTTCAGTGTTGGTCAAGTCCAGTGAGTGGGAAAACCCATGGTAAATTCTAGGTTTTACTTGGACTTTATCCAAGGGAATAAAATAGTAACAGAATCAAAAATTTTTACCAAATATAAATCTGATTTGCGTTTACCATTTAACATTTTCCAACAAAAAAAAACTAATTTATTTGCTATGTCGATTTTTAATATATTATGGGTTTTATAATCTTGGATAGCTTAAATTTTAGAAAATGCTCTCTCGATTGACGAATATAGATAAATTTTCTATTTGTTTAAACATTTTTAATAGAAAAGGATCTTCAAGTTGCAAACAATCGAAAGATGAAAATAAATGGCTTTTCGATATTTGTGGATTTTAGTGAAAATATGCAACAAAAAATTTTTGGCCGATAACACGCCGATGTAGCATGTAAACGAGCAAGGAATGTACAAAAATATACGAAATACATGAAAATTCGATGCGCAAGAAATGCGCGGTAAATTACATCGCGTCTTGTAACCGGTAGACTGGAGTCGGTAATTTTCGGTTTTATTGCCTGGCGCAATCTTCTCGAGGGCTAAGTTTCAACAGTGATTATTTAGCAAACGTAACGACTCGAAAACAGTTATACCGCTCCGAGGTATACAATAAACCGATTGTTAAATCGGTTTTGTTAATTGTCTTATCGTATTCTGATTCACAAATTTCACATCTTGTATTGAACTTAAATGCCATAAAGCCATTTATTTTTAATTGTTTGTAAATTTTAGAGATTATTATTGACAGTTTTTTACAGATGTGAGAAAAATGGCAGCTCGAAAGGCGACACTTTAACGATGTTGCAGGTGCAAAACAGTGTGCATATAAGGCATAATGTTATTGCCGAATGTGAACCTTAAATTGCCGAGTTTTATTATGTCGCTTTCCATTATATCCGTGTTACATTAAACGAGTACTTCGCATTCTTGTTGAAATTACGGCGTTCAATCATTCACGCGATATTCGTATTTCCGATCACAAGAGTCATTTATCTCACCCCCTCACTCTCTCCCTGTTCTGATATCCGTGTGTTACATCACCGCTTCATACGATTATATTAATTGCGAAAATGCATCCCTGTGAGTTTTTCTCTGCATGGATATCTCCACTCTTTTCGCTTACATAGATTATATTAGAATTAGCATTTATGTCTCGCTTGTGCACCTTATGAATGCCGAAAATCTTTCCTCGATTTATTTTCACGTACTTTAGACCTATTGTTGACTGTATGCATATTATTTGTAAATGTATTCCTCTCTTTGTTGCATTAACAATATGATTGATTGTACATATAAAGTGATTTATTATATGTAAAGATTGTAATTGTCGATGAAGCAGCGCGCACACATTTCACATTTTGTACGATTCTTCTCTCTTGTGCTTTTGCTCATTAGAACCGGGTATGCCTAAATGTGTTTGTGTGCTTTATGTATGTCGGCAAGCTGTCGAAAAGGAGCGTTCTTATATATATTCAAATTATCTATTAATTTTCAGAAATGCTAATATCTTCTCTCTGTACTTTGTCAATATCTTGCCGTGTTTTCACAAAGGGAATTCTTGAGAAACATGAAATTACACTGACGTGTGAGGGGATTTAATACGAAAGTTCTCTTAGCTTTTTGTCATTGTCGTAGGCTGTTGATATTTTATAATCATTGCAATATTGCCATAAATTGTATAAAAATAATTAGTGGCACTCCTTTTGTAATATTTGCTCTATTTCAATATTCCTTCTTTATTTAGTTTAATCGTACGCAAAATTAAAAAAATGTATTATTGTCTGACCGATTACATGAACAGAGCTAAAATTTTTATTATACATATATATTTACAGTATTGATAATATAAATACTTTAATAACATCTGAAAACGTCATTAATATACAGATAATTATCTATATATGAAAATAAATAAAATAAATTCTTGCTTGAAAATATCTTTCCTCTAAAGTAAAGGTTTGCAAATTAATTTATAGAGAACTAATATTTATTAGCTAAAGAGCAAAGAATTTTATTGCCTTCGCTTACTTTCCTTTATGTGATTCTATTATTTAAACACATCAATTTTTTGCATTTGTTAAATGAAATATAATGGATCATACTTCAAATTTTCATGTATGTACAGTGAAAAGATCTATATTTGAATACCATATATTTTATATTTGAAATAGAACGAGTATAAAATCGATAAATTTTAAACATCCATAATTGTCTTCGAAACCCCTTATAGCTTAACAAAATTAAATTAACGCACAATCTATATTCTGTACTAATTAAAACGATCAAACGATTCGTCGAAATTGCTTTGTGAAAAATCGTTACTTGCCAAAGTGCCCTACATGCTGTTCAAGTTTCATGAATTTTCAAATTCCCTTGTTACAATACACAAAGTATTGGTTTATAAAGAGTACGTTGAGAACGAAAGAGAATCTTTCGCTTATTAGACAGAAATCACATCATTATTTTGTTTAAAGCAGTCACATCGAAAAAGGATCCGCGATCGTTATTTATGACAAACGCGACATTTCTGAAAATTAGTGATGTAAATATTACGTGACTTTTGCTAGCGTTCTAGTCGGTTTATTAAATATATGATTTACATAATCGCTCCTTTTGCCTTACTATGAAATCAGTGTTGGTAAAAATACGATAACGATCTGTAGCTGCAAACGTAGTTAAATCTCTTTTTATTTGGAATTAAATATCTACTAAGTTGATAAATATTAATAACGTTTTTATTATGAACAATTGTGGAATTATTTATAATAATATTTGTTAATTGAATACAATGATTTTTTTCTATATTAATAGTAATATATTAATATTTTATTTGTAATATCTAACACCAAGATCTAATTTCGAATTATTTTTTTTTTTAAGAATGAGTAATATAAATTCAACGAATTTACATGAAAGTATCTTAATCCGGAAGATACGCAGATTCAAACAACTTTGTATCTAGTTTCAAACGTAGTTATCAGAAAGTATCATGCACAATCTCATGCAGGAGATATACGTTTTAACAGCACTGGTTAAGACACGACACAGCTAAAGGACGAGCGAGGGAAAATTGAAGATTTTGTACAGAGATGATTAGAATGTGTTTAACGCTGTGAAAAAGAAAAGTTATCCGCAAATTGCGGGCACGTAAATCGCGCGATCGACGCGTTGAGGAACGCATCCGACTTGGTCACCAAGAAAACCGATTGATCGCACGATTATTCATTCGATCGACACATCTAACGCATTTAAAATCGTTTTTGAATTAATTTAATTTAATTTTCAATTAAATCTATCGCGAGATATATTATATATTTCTCTGTGACTTCGCGAGATTTATTTCGAAAATGCGATTATTTTCATAAAAATGTAGGAAAAACTCTCGTGATAAAATTCAACGCTGCACAAACAGAAAATATAGTTCTTCTTTCGAAAAATATAGATACGCTCAAATGAGTTTCCATGGCAAAAGATATCGAGATATCGTACGTGTATCGATACTTGGCAACGCTCGCGTTAAGAAGACCAGCTCGGACGTTCCTTCAACACGTTCCGAAATGTCAAGTCGTGAGGGGATTCGCGAGAGGAAAAGAGACAGAAACAGAAAAGAAAAAATTTGTCACATCCGTCCAACCTGTCTGGCTAGGTAACATCGTTTAAATACCCTCGCCAGGTTCCTCTCGGTGCACGTCGATCGATCAGTCCAGCGAGTGATCTTATGAGACGCGCATCCAGAGATTGCGTGATCAAGGAATTAACCGTCCCCGAGTATTGAGAACAACGACGGCGTCTACGACGAGGAGGAGGAGGAGTACCGCTGGATGATAGACCAAAGAGGATAGAGAAAGAAAAAGGGAGAGAGAGAGAAAGAAATACATAGCGAACAGCAGGAAAAACGAACGGAAGTATGAACGGCCCCGGGAGTCATCAGCATCGTGGCTTGGGCATGCAGGGTCGTTATAGAGCTGTGGTGTCCAATGGCGCCTCGTCGGGTCCGCACGTGCGCGCCCCATCGCTGCCATCCCACCCTCGTAACGGCGGATGGCATCCCCAGCATCAGCAGCCGCCTCCGCCGCCGCCGCCGCCACAGCAACAGCAGCAGCAGCAGCAGCAACATCAATACGCTGCCGGCAACAAGGAATACCCGTATCGGCAATGCCCGCCACGATATCACAATGGGTATATAACAAATTCCACGCAAAACACCGGATGTTCCTCGCAGCTTGCACCCTGCGTACACGCATGTGCATGCTTCGAGGGACTTGAGGGACCCAGGCGATGATCCTCTCCGAATATTGTGACGAGAATTTTTTTATATTATTCGTCGATTAATTATTATTTATTTATTTTTTTAAAATTAATTTCTTGTCGTGAATGGGATTTTATAAATAGCGCGCGATATAGGGAAATATTTCTTTAAATTTTTATCTCCCTTAAATATTTCCCTCGTCCGTATAAATAGTGACACTTTGATATTTTGACAGCACATTTAATTATTAGAGAAAGAAAGAGTAATAAACTTTTTCTCTGATATTTTGTGATCAATGTAATTATTAGTATATGACGAGCATGTTTACTTATATATGTTTGCAGTTCACAAATTAAGCTTTGGCACAACTGTGTTAAGAATTATTAATCTTTAGATATTCGCGCGGTAGAATATTACTTCTTTTAAAGCAGACCTGCTATTAAATATTTTATTTTTAAAGAGGATTTGTATGTGTGATAGAGAATTGTATAGGTGAGATTACCTTCTTTTATTCTCTTTTATAAAAATACAAACAAACAATGGAAAAATGCTTAGATCAAGCTAATTAGTATTTCAAGGTGAGCTTCAATATGTAACAGAGTGATGCTTGAGTGATATTGTATTATTCAAAATGTGTGCGAAATTATAAACAGTCGAAATAATGGTTCGTGCTTTTAAATGTATCTTTGTTTTGCCAAAGAAAAATTCGGATATATATTACGATCATTATTTGAAATATTATCTATATGTACTCGCCTGGGTAACTTTCCGGTTTAACACTTGGGCTGAACGTAATATGCGTGTTTCTTAATAAGATCGTTGCGCGATAACAAACAACATTTAATAGTATCCTTTGTAAAAATTGAAATTAAAAAAAAATTGTTTGCAATTAATTTCTAACGAAAAACATACACATACAAACATATACGATTATCGATTTAATCAATATAGTTCTGCACAGGGTATCTCGAGTAATATTTGCTTCTATTTATTAATACTTTTATCATTTTAGATTTTTGAAGTAGATAGCTTAAATTTTTTTTAGAAAATTTAGATGTCAACTTCTTGTCAATTTTAAGTATCTTAAATCGTGAACGAAAATTCTCTAAATAGAAAAATGTGAAATTGAACAAAGGACAAGGATTTTATTATTCTTCATATCATTCAATTAATTTGAGAAATTCGATTATAAATCGTTGGTAACTCGAAAACCCTTCTTTTGATATTCTCGATAGAGTAAAATCGTTACTACATTGTAAATAGAAAATACGATGAATTTGGGATACCCTGCCACGGAAAGTCCGATGTAAATAAAATCGTTTATTCGGTACGCGCGCCGATGAAAACGCTCGATCTCCATCGCTCACAAAGTCGACACGCGTTTCATTACCGGATAGATCGAGCTTTTTCTTTTTTCGTGCGACAAAAATTCACTTGCTACACGTTCCCACTATTTACCGTGCACTTGTACATTAAACGTCAATGTGGCTTAGTACGGCTTAGCGAAAGTTACGCGCGGCATATTGTATTTGTACGATTATGTATATTGTGCGTTCAGGCCAGGCGGACAAGACTACGCTCTCTCTCTCTCTCTCTCTCTGTGTGTGTGTGTGTGTGTGTGTGTGTGTGTGTGTGTACGCGTGTCTTTAATTTTCAGAGAAGCCGTCATTGCGCGAAGACGATTCTCTAATCGACGACAATCAACGGGCCATCACGGCTCCGCGTTGCAACGATGCACTTTATTTCCGCGTTTGCTCTTCGGACTTTTTTCGAGCGCGGCCTCGTTTATCCGCTTACCAATTAAATCGGTTTATTGATTTTCCTTCTTTCTCTTTTCGCGCGCAGTTTTTGTTCTCTCTCTCTTCTCTGTGTGTGTATTGCTGAATCTTTTTTCTCTTCTCTTTTTTTTCATTAGGAATGTGACTATTATACTCTTGTCGCACGTGTGTAAACTTTTGCAGCCTTTGGACGTTCAATTAGAATTTCTCGTTGAATTTTTTTTACAAGGTGTCCCGTGAGATGTGTTTTAATTCCAATGGCAGAGAACTTGGAGTTGATTTTTTCTTAAATAATATCTCGAAACCGTGAATTAGGTGAATAATAAAGTTCTGTTTACACTTTAAAATTTTACATAGCATACAATTCGAAATTCATTTTAATTTCGAGGAAAACTCTATTCCAAGTTTGTCGAAAAATCTGTCACATTGAAATTAAAGGCAGAGTATTTTGGAACATCCTGTCTACATATATATGCAGTTTGTCGCCAACTATTCGTAATCTTCACGAATGACAGATGTTGTGCCAAGAATTCAAGTAGTGAGGAGAAAGAGATTAAAGGAAAGAAGTTTAATATATTCGTAAATATAAATATCACGATTGAAAATTTCAATGAGGCAGCATCAAATATGTATCATTTTGATTCGCGCAGAGTTTTCATGCAACTGCATTTCGCAGCACATTCGCATTTCCTCGCAAAAATGTCAAAATGGTACGCCGGTCTTCGGCGGTCATTGTTTCTTAATAAAAAAAGAACACCATTCAATGCTAATTTCTTAAACGCGATTCCTTGCTTTACTCGCATAGTACGTATCATCGAGAATTTTCGTCTTGATCGGCATCCCGCATGCAAAAAATTGCAAGTTGCATGTAAAAAGATATTAAAAAATGGCTCATGCGTTCGATTTGAATTTATGTGTGTCAAAGCTCTGTCTCTATATATAAATTATAAATTCATGTTTTATAAATAGTATAAATCAACGCGTGTTTTGCAATTGCGTCGTTCTAAGAGACGCAACAATTCCTTTTTTCTGTCTGTTGGAAAATTGTACCAGTAACTTTATAGAATGAACTAAATATCTCTGATATTGAGGATATATATATAATGATGAATATCCCCTTTCGGGATAGAATTCTTTAACATTTTATCGGATTAATATTACATAAATTAATTGAAAATTTAATTATCTAGCTGAATTATTAATTTTAAATAAAAATTCACATTTTGTTTTAGAAACATATATCTCTCAAGGAAAAATGTTACATTAAAATTTCACACATTTCGATAAATAATAGATTTAATTCGTGATAATTGATTCAAATAACACATAATTTTTTTAAGTCATGCAGTATTATTTTCTTGAATATTAGGTGATCCTAAAATCCACATTTTTATTGCAATGCATATGAGCAACTGGTGTAATTTTGTACCATCTTATATGATGTACCGCCAGTATTGACGCATGACATCGACATCTTTCAAAGTCATTAATTAATAAGCTCGGCCCCAATTGACTCTGACAGTTCATCGGGAATGTATAGTGTTTCACGACATGTGCGCTTCAATATTTCAACTTTTTCCATCTCATATTTGTATGTTTCAGTGGTTATCTCATTTTAGCATGCCTGCACACATACTTATCAATTTTGTCGTGAATTTCCCACATTTTCCTGCAGAAAAAGAAATTTACACGTTTTCATCGAAAAAGTGTTACACACACGTTCTCTTATTCTTTTTACACACATTGAATCGTTAATTAATACTCGTGGGACTCGAGAGAAAGGATTGAAGTATGTTTCGAATATGAGAAAGAAAAATTAAATGATACAATAATAATGTGAACAATGTAATTGAAAACAATGTTAGCAAGTCATGTATAAATACGCGGAGGGAAAATTATATAAATAGCATTATATTACATCATGTATTACGAGAGTCGCGTGGTGTGACTATTTTACAAACACCACGCCATATTACGTAACGCTAACGGTTCGATTTTCATTGATATATTCTTTATGGCGTGTCGTTATCCGGTTTTATATTTCGATTGTAAAAATAAATAAATCTGCGGCTAACAAAAATAAATAAATCGCCGCGCTCCAGTTTGTCGAATCGTTAACTATTACGGTCACTTTATTTGCTTGTGTTTGTATAGGTGAAGCAAATACATAGGAAGTGTTGTTTCTTTCTCTCTCGCTATCGAATATCTCTTCAATCACGGATTCGTTGGCGAACTCTTTTCGTTAACGAAAATTCAAGATGAAATCGAAGTAATAAATATATGGAGTTGTTGAAATTGAAATTACATCGATTACTGCAATTTTTAAATCTTTGAGATAATGAAAGTTTTAACTAAATTTGAAGTAAAATTCTTCAGGAAAATTCCATTTTTTTAAATACTTGCGGAATAGCAGATAAATATGTTTGGTAAATATGTTTTCTGAAATTAAAAAAAAAAACCATACACAGATATCGATTGCTATCTTACGAAACGCTGATAACGTCGAAAAAAAGAATCTGTTTTCTTGATCCATATTCATACGTTTATGTATTAAGATCATATTGAGAATTTTTTTTTACTTTTGCGTAAGATATTCCACCAAATTTTTATCGAAGAAGAATTGATAATTTTTAAAGCGATCTGTTTACGTGTCGTTATATGATACATTCCTTTTTATTCGTAAATAAGATATATTGTCGTAGATATTGTCGTAGCGTTCTGATGAGAGACTGCGACTTTCATAACTGCTCGCGGAAAGATGTTTACTTAATTGTAGGTCGCTCAAGCGTAAACTCGATTTTCACTTAATCGCGATGTTGCGTATAAATTTATTAATTCTTGCGAATAACATCGGAACGAGTTAATTCGTCAATTTGCCTCGCGAGTGCAAAATGCGAGAGAAAAAAAAAAGAATAATTCTCTCTTGCGATAGAAACTTTTAAATGAGTGAATCGCAAATCTCTGTCTGGGAGTGAACTTTGGCAAAAGCCTATTATCTTTACGAATTAAACGAGTATTTTATATTTTCGTATCGGAGCTTTTCATATAAACTTTGCGCGAAGTAGCGAAAACGATTGCTAATATAATTTTTTTTAAAGAAAACGCGCAGACAATTTTTATTTTCGACTTATTAAATAGGAATCTTATTTTTATAGATATTTTTTTTTTATCGCGAAAAATAATTTATTTTCTCTTTTTTTACATAGAGAATTTTGCATAGAGAAAATTGTCGCGCAATATTATTCCTTCTTAAGGATCAATGCTGACCCGCGTTGGAACATCCTCGTTCTATATCGCATACGTGACTCATTTCTATTACGAGTGCGGTTGGTATCAGCGTTTTTAGCTCGAGTTATCACTGCGAGAATGTATCGCATGGCGTATCGCGCGCGAATTTATTACGTATTTCCCGGCATCCGTTCGTGTGTATTTTTCTGCGACACTCTCGCTCATGCTTCTCCACTTTTATATACTGCAGAGATTGCCCCGGGGTTGGCACGTCCTCTGGACCGGCTGGCAAGGAAGTTTCCTATCACGGGAACGTGGGTGGATCCAGCGTGGGATATAAGCCGCCTCCGCAGCACAGTCCGCAGACGAGGGGCCCGCCGCCGCACTTCCCCCAGGAGTCGGTAGGCCCGCCGGCCAATTCCCCGCCGTTGCACATCAATATCTGCGGACAGGTGAGCACACGCGCGTCATCTCTTTTCGATCTTTCCTTTCTACCTATCCTTCTCCGTTGATGAGAAAATTACTTAATTATTTTGCTGCAATTTCAGGAGAACGCGATGCGCGGTCCTTTATTGAACATGAGTCCCGGCCTTGGAGCCAGTGGGGTGGACATGGAGTACCGCAGAAACTCTCAAGGTACGTCTTGTTTTAGTTTGTCTCGTCCGTTTATTTGCGAGTCTATCTATTTTTTTCTTTCTTTCTCACTACATAGTTTAATTTGGCAGAGAATAGTTTTGCGTCAATCCTCGATCGGAATATTGCAGAGATGTAGTTATGTAATCCTTCTCTCTTTTCAGCCACAAACCAGCTACCTCTAAGCCCCGTGCAGATCCAACCGTCGCCGCCGTATTACAGACAGCCTAGTCAGGACGATGGTAGAAAGGTGAGCATACTGTTTTGTTTCGTGCGTTGATGATGTTTGAAGTTTCAGTGTCAATCTATATTTTCCGTTGAGTAATTTATAAAGGAAGCGCGACATGGTTGGTAGTAATTAATCGAATTAATTTTTTTACTCGGCTAAATGATGCGGTTTCTAACGATCTAAAAGTAAACTTAACGTTTTTGTCCATTCATGTGTCTTTTTCTCTCTCGAGATAATGTGAAAAAACTTTTGCTTTTCTGGTTGCCTTTGGTACAAAATGTCGAAGGAAACACTTTCAAATTTCGATCTTGCGAGTTTTATTCTACAACGAGCTTACGCACACGATGTTTGTTTAACGTAATGTAATATGGTGAAAGTCTCTGATTACTTTACCAATGAAAAAATAGTTGTAGACGCTTTTTTCGTTTAATCCTGTCAACAAGTTTACATTTCTTTTCCGGCAAATAGTGCCGCTACTCGGAATGGATACGAATATAAGCAATTCGTATTTTCTAGAGCGAGTCACCATCGAGGAAACGTCGTCGAATATCCCGCAACGGCGCCGTGTCCGGGATAGAGGTTCGAGAAACGACGCCTCCGGCTCCAACGCCGCCCCTGCACACAACCCCACCGCCTTGGGAATTTGGGGGCGCACCCCAACGGCGCTCCCCGCGCAATCACATGTCCACCCGCGGCAGTCCGACGGTTAGGAACCGTTATCAGCGATACACGGACTCGTTTGGGCTCCCCTATCCGTTCCTACCGAGTCACAATCCCCACCAGAGTCTCCATAATTCCCATCACGGCCTTCACAATTCGCATCACAACATCCACAGCTCCCATCCGCACGGTCTGCACAATTCGCACCACAATATCCACAATGCGCATCAGGCGCATCCCCATCCAACGGCCGGTGGCACGGGACACCATCCCGCCCAAGGTGCGAACGCGCCCGTTGTCGTCGACGTGGGTCAGGTTGGCGTGTCCGGTCTGCCGGTTGCCGTTAGCGGGGAGCCCCTGTGGCATCCGCAAGCGCCGAGCTACAGAATTCCGTGTCAACTTCATAGTCTCTACACGCCTCACGGAACACACCCGTTCGGACACTCGTGCCAGGTAAATGAATTCCCACATGAATTTCCTACATCTCGAATGAATAAATAAATCACTTTTTTTTACATGTACGATATATGCAGATCTCATGTATATTTGTTCATCCACAGGTGACACACCATCATAGTCACTATTCCGCCGCTCATCCAACGCATCCGGGTCACGGTCTTGTCGGTTCCTTAGTAGGTGCCGCTTCCAGAGGATACCCAACACCGGCTGGCGGTCCTGTAGCAGCGCTACATCACACACATGCACCTCCACCACCCGTCCATACTACTGATTATACCGCCGCGCATCATCAACTATCTCAGCAGGTAAATTCGATGGACACTTGAAAAGACTACTGGATTCGATTCGAACTGGTTCGCTCAGTTTATCCATATCGTATTTATAATTTCCTCTAATTTTTCTGTAGGACATAAAAGAAACTTTCTTATTGAACTAAGAAAAACAAAAATATCTAATGGATCTGTATCTCTCGAATTAGATTTTAGGCGCCAATGCCATTTTTGCCTGCTAATCGTTGTTTTTCGCATTTGTTTTTAGAGAGAAGTCGAACTTGAACTGATAGAGTCCCATCATCATCATAGAGTGGGCGCTGCGGCTGGTGCGCCGCTACCGTTACCACACTCGTATTCTCCACCAGCCCTTACGCAGGTGACAACACCGCCGCCCATATTCCTGTCCGAGACGCGAAACAGTCAATTGGAGATGATGCAGAATAGAACTCGACGAGTAACATCCAACGTTTTACGACGACCGAGATTCAGCAGATGGAGGGGTACAACTCCGTTACCACCCATGACGTATCCGGGATACCTACTACATTTTCTGTACGTAATGTATACTATGTAATTATCGTAATGCTTACTGCGCGTAACAAGACACTTAATAGTTACGTCGTTTATTCCGCAGAGCGATGTTCAGCAATCCACCGCTGTCTCCGTACAATCAGGCCGAATTATCTTCGCCTGATTCTGTGACGGAGAATTATGAGGCATTGCTGTCCTTAGCCGAGAGATTGGGTGAAGCTAAGCCGCGCGGTTTGACTCGCGCGGAAGTCGAACAATTGCCGTCTTACAAATTCAACGCGGAGACACACCAGGGCGACCAAACCAATTGCGTCGTTTGCATGTGCGATTTCGAGGCTCTTCAATCGCTACGTGTTCTACCGTGTTCTCACGAATTTCATTCCAAGTGCATCGACAAATGGCTTAAGGTAAGAGAGAATCATATTATTTCTCGAGATCTAAATTTATCTTGAATATATTTTTGTGTTGAAATTTACGCGATATTGCAAACGACGATATTACTTACTTTACAGTCTAACCGAACATGTCCGATATGTCGCGGTGACGCCGGAGAGTATTTCGGAAATAGCAGTGGCAGTAGTGACTGACGCCAAGCTGACGATGTACACTAGCGCGAAGCGTCCCAGCCATCGAGGACACTATCACTACCACACATTATGGAGATCCCGGTTGTTGCGTTGCTGCTATTTCACGCGAATCTCTGCCGTTAAAAAAACATTTCTGTTGCTCTTTTGGGGCGAGAGACGAATCACTGATACAAGATAGTCACATGATTCATTGACGATGAAACATTTTTTTCGACCTCCGTTGAGAATGACGATTCTGAAACGGGCTGAATCACAAGTGAGAATTGTTTCGGTGTACGTGATCTCGTTGAGTGTCGAGCGCAGAAATATCAAGATTGAGGAACAGTGTAGCGTCTTTCCTGCTTTGGAAGAAATATAGCGAGACGCAATAAAAGCAATTTAGCAAAACGTTCCGTTAAGTTACGGCGCGCATTTCCTATCAAAAAGAAAGAAAATCACAAGTCGAAGATATTACGTTTTTGTTCATAACGCTTTAATTAATATTTTAACGCTCATTAATTATTCGTATTATGCTATTCTGCATTATCGGATTTATGTACATAAAAATAACTGTATACGCAGATATCGCAACTTTCCATTAACGTTCCATTTTTTATAGTTTATCTTTCAGTCTAGTGATTGTATATACATATGAATATATAAAAATTTGCATAAATACCCTTATACATATATGTGTGCGCGTACAAAGCAAGCGGTAGAGTTTTGTTTGGACTTAACCAAATGTAGAACACGAATTCTTTTGCAATAAAAAAAAAGTGTTTATCGTCAGAGAGATAAGGGAAAAAAAATTGTAACTTCCTACTGTTATATAAGCTCTTGTGTCTTTGTAGTAGACCAGCTAATTATTTTATTATATTATAGAAATGTATATGTAAGTAAATTAAAATTACTTTTGGCACCTTAAGTGCAGTAGGTAGAAATTGTTGGATTATTGCACCGGGATGCCACATAACTATTTTATAAAATATCTATAGGTTCGTGTTTAATTCGACATTTGTTTTTCTCTCTTGCGGCAATTAATTAATTAATTATCCATTATCTTTTCTAAGTATGCTCTAAAATACGTGGAACGTTGTTTTGTTTCGTATACTTTGTAAAATCTGATTTAAGTGATTTAAATATACGCGTGAATTTCGATGAAAAATTATTTTATAATCGCGAGAGAGACCCGGCACGCATAATAGCCAAGTGCACGCGAAAAAAGATAAACGAAAGAAAAAAAAGAGAACCTAAGAATATCGCTTCTGTTTCCTGCGTATCTACCTCTGATAGAAGAAACAAGACGATTCATATTTTTTTATATACACATCTCATAAACAATAAACATACCTATGATAAGTGAAGGCAAGAGTGACCGGCTAATAAAAAACGAGATTCAAACGTTTTGAAACATTCGATAAGGAAACGTTAATGATTAGAACCACTGAAAAAAATAACAAACGCTCGCTGAATTCAAAATGCTATGCGGATATATGTAAATTTGATCGAATATAGTCGAAAGATTCTTTATGTTAAATCTTTCTAATTAAGATTAAACATACACAAGTTTCGCGAAACTTTTTGTAGAAGCGGTTACAATGTAGATCGAATTTTGCCACGAACAAGTTGTGTGCTTTTAGTTAATTATATAACTCTTCCTTGTTTATACATATACTTTTATGCCAATGTGAGAAAATTGAGAAGATTTGTTTATATTCTTGTTATTTTTAAGATGTTTTGTGTATACTGTTAGGTAGAGAGCGAATGTTATTGGCAAGATATGAAATGTTGAAAGCAGTTTTTTATGTTTCAAAATTAATAAAATTGCGGGATATGTAATCTAACACTTTGACTGATTTAATAATATTCACGCTATTTTTCATACGCTCTCCTTTTTCTCGCTAACACAACAATCTTACTTTTCGATTTTTCACGATAATCAAAGAGATTTGCATATGTGATCGTGACTGTGAACTCGATAGTCATTTTCAGATATGAATTTATTGACGAATGTGGCTCGCGCACGCGAGATTACACATATGCAAAGCAACAATCACAGGCTACAGTGAAAGGCGATTGGCAAAAAACCTAATTCGATGTGTCTGTATGTGCGCGTATGTATGCGTATGTGTGAAGAAAAAATGCGTTTGTCTCTACACACACATTTTTTTTTTCTTTCAGACACAATAATATTTAATGTGAAAAATATTCTATGGTGTCTACACGCCTATAGAATATGTGTAATTATATATGTCGCATTTTGTAATTTAAGCTTCAATAGCGTTAATTGCAATATCAATTATTTTATAAAAGAAAGAGTGCTACCTATTATAAAAATTGTGCATTATTACTTGGTGCATCGAGTTCTCTGTTGCAATTCTCTTTCGCGTCAATTGTCTTGTTTAAATACGTTCGAAAGGATCGACGCACCATTGTGAGAATACGAGGAAAAGATTCGCTCGCGATAGTTGATTAGTCGGAATCATTGCCTTCTAAAAGACGTTTCTCGATGGAACGCGTGGAAGTGCGTGTGAAAAGTGCGAATGTAATCGAAACTCCCTTATTCCAAACACACGGAAACTTCAAAACACAAACCGAGAAAAAACATGGAGAACCTGACGTCTCGATGTCACACTTCCTCTTTCTCTAAATCTGTATCCTTCCACTTTTTCAATTGCGTGCCTTTCTGTACACCGATGGAATATCACGAGAGAGAAAGAGAGAGAAAGACGTGAGCATGTTTAAGGAAGTGCGAGCGCATAACGTCAACCACGTTGGAGCACTTACGGTCGAAATTTACATTTTTATATCCAGAGCAAACATTTAAGAATACCGAGATGTTATTATGGAGATACACCGAGAGAGATGCGTCCAATGTTTTACGAACATGTTGATATTTCCTTTCGATAACGTCTGAGATTTCTATTCGCACTCTTATCCGATATCGCATTTAACGTCAAATGTAGCCATCTGAACTGGACGTCTTATCCGTCTTATATCTAATGCACAGAGCCATTATCCGTCCTCGAATGCAGGATTCGAGGACAACGTTACGTTCAGCGTTAAATGTGACATGGAAGGAATAAGCGAGGAAGATGTCCACCTGCGATTCGCTATTAATATCGTAAAGTGATGCAACAAGATATCTGTCGATCGTTTCTTCAGCGCTATAACTTTAATTCTACGGTTTCTTTTACACGCGTTTAAAGACAGATTTTTTTTTCTCCGTATTTTCGCAGGTCGATGTAATAAATTTTATTTGCGCAGGAACTCTCATAGAATCGAAATTAATATTTTCGATCAAAATATTGACGAATCTTCAATTCATTTGATACGTCGATGACGTTAATGAACGAGTACTAATCTCTCCGAGGGTCGATAATTGTTTCCGGCAATAGTTTTTTTTTTTTTTAATTTAGTTTTTTACGTTCAGAGAGAGAGAGAGAGAGAGAGAGAGAAAATGCTGCTATAATATAATATTATAAATTTATAAAATAATGTCCATGTGATGTATCAGTTGTTATCACGCATTGTTTAAAGTTCTCATCAATCTTGTCACGTATTGATACGTAGTCTTTGAAAGTTTATGGTTATTCATCTTTGGAGATTTTTCATTCGCGAGTTTGGAATATCGATCGTCTGACTTCTTTAAACATTCGTCTGTGAGAAATCGCATATACGTAACAAACTACACTTTTAATAATGTCATACGGGTCCTAACTTGTCACATATATGCGGGAAAGCTACCTTACAGAAATATCAAAAGTCTTGCAAAGGCGACGAGCGAGCAGGCACCGTTGATCCTTCCTAGATGCATAAGAAGACATATCATATTTTCATTGCACTCCTAAGACGCGCTGTTTCGCGTACTCTCTCTTTCTGTCGCAACGCAATGACAGGAGAGAAAAGCGAAGAGAGAAGTCGAGATGGCTCATGTTTAATTAGCTTAAGCTTGTACCAAGAAAAGTACGAGAAGGAACGAGCGCTTGATGGGCAGAAGGCAAAATTTTTTATTTTAAGTTCCGTAAAACTAATTATTTAATTGAAATCTCATTTTCTTATTACGTGCAACTATACTATTTTTAACATTTGTTTGCGACACATTTCATCTATGGGTCTATTTATTGGAATGATGAAATATGACAACAAAGATAGCATGTTTAGTGTAAAAAAATAAAAACAGAAAACGGATACCGTTCATACATGAATTTTCTGAGTCAAGAATAAATGGTTGCAAATTGATACATAAAAAAAAAAATTCTTTAACTACAAAATTTCTTTAATAGTAACCGCCTGCCCATTTAACGTGATGTTCCTTAATTTTAGATTAAGGTAGCATAATTTATCAGTAACACTTATCTCTTAAGCATATTCTTAATGACTATTGTATCTCAGTCGCAGCGAGAAACGCGGTCGATTTCTAAAACGTTTGACGAAACAAAATCGACGAAATTATTAACATATAATTGAATTTTATCTTAAAGTTTGAGCAAAGCATTTTATTTGTAGTATATTAATATTATTTTAATTATTTGAAAGGTAAAGCAGCGGCGGAATAAGAGTAACTTCTTGTGCGAGAAACGTTCGAGAAATCGATCGTTAAACAGTACCAAAAGTAATTGTTCCGTATATTTAGCAAAGCCGCGAGTTGTTTTTAAATATAATGAGATAGACCTGTGTATATGTGTGTGTGTGCAAATTTTACGGAGACACGCAAATAATCACCTGGTACAAGAACTTTTCTTCTTACACACAGCATGTTGCGAATAATTTTAATTCTAAAACAATCTAGAATGAATTGATTATTATATATACGAGATGTATATATTAATTCTCCGAAAAAAATAATTTACAGAAAATATACACACACACACACACACACACACACAGATATCTGCACAGGTGAGCTTTCCTTCTTCTTTCGAGAAAAATTAACGTACTCTCGTCACTTTTACAAATAAAGGTGTCATCTTTAATCGGTGCCTGAAAGAGATCACGCTCTGTACTTGCATCTTACACGAATACGGTAATATCATTTTTTTTCTCAGCCTCTGCTTTATGCGAACCGTGTAAAATATTTGTTACACAGAGATCTTTGGTAGCGAATATAATGAAAGAAAGGAGATGGACTCGCGAGCGAATAATGTGTTTTTCCGCATACGATCACTATAATAAACGTACGCTAATGTTAATCTTGACAAGGTCAACGCGCTCTCAACAGCGAAAATCTCGCCACCCTTTCAACGATAATCATATCAAGTGACCTGACGATAGAGGCTTATTTTTCATATTCCCAAAACACAAGGAACGAGTCGCAGCGAGTTTTTAAAAAATGCAGAAACATCACAATTTAATCAAACACCGCTCGCGTTTCGTAGAAGTAGAAGACACACGACTGGGTTGTCATACACACAGTTACTCTATATTTCAAGTGGAGTTCAATACTTCGGAATTCGCTTATCTCTCAGTCACGGAAAGAGATAAAATAATATGTTTCCAAACTATTATACCTTCCTAAAAAATCGCAGATTCTTCGAGGCGAAATTGAATTATTTAGGAGATTTAAAAACCCAAAGTTTTTAATTAAACTTGAAGAATGCGAAAATAATATATTTGTATTATTTTTCAATTAATGTATTTATACATAGCAACGAAAAAATTAATTTACTTTATAAAAAATTTCATATGACGTTCAATACACAATCAAAATATATAATATTGCAAATTGAACATTTTCGCCAATAATAATAATAGTCTTTACAAGTTTTAGCTGAAAAGATTGAGTCTGAAATTCTTCTAAGAATCTGTCGATGAAAGAAACGGCGATAGTTCTGGAATACATCCTGTATAGAAAGAATTTGTTGCATATCCGAGGAAAAAACATGCTCTATCTTATTTAATATTATATAATTTTTAGCATTACACACAAACCGTTCAACACTTGTATAAAAAAAAAAAAAGATAATTCAGGATTCTATAAATATTTCCTATCGTTGCGTCCGCTCTTATTAAGCATTATTCCGAGTATGAATCTAAACTAATTCGAGTAAAAGCTTCAATTTATGTGTGCGACTCATTATCAATGATAAGATATTGTTAATATCGTTTCAGCGGGGACACAGGATGATTGTGTAAAGTTACGAAAGAAAATTGCGTCGATACAGAATGTAAATTGTTTTTCTCGCAATTTACGATTGCGAGATTATTAAGATTGGCAGGGGTTGTGTCGTTAATTTTATTATTCACCTAACCCATCGCACAATAATCAGCGTTGCTACTGCTGTATTAGTTATACGATATTTAATTTGTCGATTAGTTATTGTTATTAGAATTGTATTTCTGCTATTACTATTATTATTATTATTATTATTATTATTATTGATATCGATTATAGTTATGATTATTATTTGCATTATTAATTAATTAATAATTGATTTATTGTATTAATTGTTAAATTGTATCCGCCCCAGCAAAAGGAGAGAATAGGCTTTACTCGTCAGTCTGTGTTTTCAGTGTTTGGAATATGTATTTTGTGACAAAAGTCATATGAAAAAAAAGAAACTCGAAAGCGCCGCAAGAAGCAGGTTACTGTACAGATGCAAACACATAACGATGCCAAACATTCTATATTATTAGCATTACGTTATTATTATTATTATTATTACTATTATTAATACTACTATTATTATTATTATCTCTATATGTGATTATACACCACTATTATTCCTATTAAACGGATTATTACAAGTTTTTTTTTTCATATGAAAGTAACATCGATTATTATTTTCATTTTTGACTTGTTCCAAGCCGATATTGTATGGGTTTTTTTTTAACAATAATTTCAATTATATCGCGTGCGTGTGTATAATTTTTATTTCTTTGGGAGCGTATACTCTTGGATTAGGCGATTTTAATTTCGAACTCTTCTTATTTTGATTCTTTCGCGATATTATCCTTTTAATATGAAAAATATAAACTGATGTATTGATACTCTCGCACAAACAGAATTGTAAATTGTAAATTAATTTGGTCAGTCTAGGTTCTAGCCGCTTCTAAAGAAGAGTGATGAGAGGTGAAGGGGAGGGAATTGGCATGCGAAAGCAACAGGAATGAAAGCGAAAGAAAGGGAACGGAGAAAGCGTAAAATGTGGCGGGGGTTGGTTTGATTCGCTCGCGAATGTTGCTAGATTAGAGGGAGACGAGTGAGGGGGAGAAGGGAAAAGAGAGAGAGAGAGAGAGAAACAGAGAGAAATACTCGGTCTGCGCGTTCGACAATTTAAGATGGATATGCTCATATCTCACGGGGTAGGGCGGCGACGAGGACAGCTTCATTCCCTTTAAAGAGAGACGCGCTCTCGATAGCTCGGCTTTAACGAAAAGCCCCCGGCACGTTGAATTTATGGAGGGTTGAGCCACACGGGCTTTGAAGTATCGAGAGCTTCTCTCCCCTTCAGGCTTTTCTCCCTTTCGTCGGCGCGGCTCTCCCTTTTTCTCTCTCTTTTTCCTTCCTGCCTCTCGCTCTCTTTTTCTCCTCTTCCTCCTTCTCTTTCTCTTTTCTCTATATATCTGAAAAATCGTTATTTCTCTTTTTCTCTATCCTTTCTTTTTTTTTTTATTGTTTTTTTCCCGTGATTCTGCTATTAATTTTATTGCTAAAATCGAATGTGTCTTTCGAATTTGCGTTTTGGTTCCTCTTTTTTTTTCCAGTTTATCGGATTTATTTGGAATCACATACATCACACATATATATATAAAGTTTTATATCTTTTTCTATATGTTTTATATATCGCAAAATACATAATTTCTCATAGATTTCTTCGCGATATCTATTTTTTTATCGTACTTATCGTCCGTGTGAAATATGTTTTCTTCTATCAATTACTTTTTCAACGATTTTACTTTCAATTCATCTTTTTTTCCACCCAATTGCAGCTTTGATTTTTTCATTATATACAGGATGCTAAATTTCAAACGTAACAGGCCGAATATCTCGATAACTAAATGAAATATCGAGATTCGGTTTTTTTTTAGATTCTGAAGACTTTGGCATGCCTGATCGAAGAAAACACCAGCGCAAATTCGTGGAAAATGAAAAGCGGATGCTTGTCTGGTATCCCGACATCTCTTGAAAACGTTATTCCTATAGCGCTTGCTCTAAATAATCGTCAGAATTAACAAAAGCACTCGCACTAATTGCGACAGTAATTGTAGTTGCGGAAATTGTGTGCAGAACAAACTCTTTCCTCGTTTCGTTTCACGAAGGTTGAAATTACAGACTGAGCTAATACAACAAGTAATATTCTAGGTCGTGAAATTCGTTACAGCAATAGATGTTTGCTGATATGAGACTGAAAAACTATGTTACATAGAGAGATAATGCGTTTATATATATATTTATTATCGAGATATTCGGCCTGCTATGTTTGAAATTTAATATATATATATATATACACACATGTATTTTCTTCCATGTGTACGCGTATTATATTTAGCTATTTTTTTCTCTTTTGATTATATTTAGATATTATATTTTTTTATAATTTAATTTGACTTTGGGTGGACACATAAAAAAAAAACCGGATCTCGATATTTCATTTAATTATCGAGATATTCGGCCTATTACGTTTGAAATTTAGCACCTTGTATATGTGTATATATATATCTGTTTGTACATTCTCTGTTGTATGTAGCACTTGTGGAAAAAGCTTACAGCATCGACACAACAAATAGCCGCAAAAAAAAGAAGAGAGAAGGAAAAAGAGAGAGAAAGAGAGGAAGGCTGCGGGAGATAGCCTCCTCAAAATCAATTCGCTCTACGGGATTAAAGTGCCTCAGGATTGTATCGTGTGGGCGGCGGCGACGCAATCACGAGACACCTCCGTAGAAGAACGGTAAATTCTAAAAAAGACGATTGGAATTTATGTTTCAAATTTATAAACCCCTAATCTTCGCAATTACAGATGAGTAGAAAACTTTTGGATCTTTTTCTTACTTTTTTGGTGTATCATTCTTGTTATAAGAAATGCCATTATCGATTTGAAATGTCCAATTGACATTTACAAATAATGTGAATTAATTAGATCTTATCATCCACTCATAGGCGATTTATTCAAGCAACATTATCTATATAACATGGAAAGGAATAATTTGTTTCTTCGCTAAAAATGTGAGTAATCCATCTATTGATTGTTACACAATTACTTAATCAATATTTCCCATTAAATAACATTAGAGACAATACTATGCGTGATAGCCTGTCGAGAGCCTAACGAAAATCAATATCGTCGAGACAAGGTAGTTTATTCATCTTTCTGGTATTTTCTATCATCGTATATATATAAATATATTACTCGAATTAAATCTTTGATCTTTCCCTCCTAATCGTGACAAAAATTCCCTAAAAGGTCGAAAATCAAACACGAAAGATTTATATTTATTCTGATGCACACGTAATAGTTAAATATATACGCACACACGCATATGTATTAGAATCCAACAAGATTTTTGTACTTGATACACATCTGAAGATGAAAATTGGAGAAAGATTTAAAGATTATATATGCAAATAATACATATGCATCATATAGAGAACACTATGGATATACTCTGCGATATTTTTCTAGTACATCGTTGTGGTATTACATGAAATTAAAGGATTTGACTTAAAATTTAAATTAATTTGAAATATGAATTTAAAATCTAAAATTTTAAAATTTGTATTTAAATTTATTTTATTTTATTAAAATTAATTTCACAGAATGAACTTCTCGATTCCTGCCTACATTTTCCAGAGCATAACCGAGATGAGTCTATAAGATATCTAGAGTCGCAAGAGATCTTTTTAGACGAAATCGTAGATGTATAATATTTATTTTCTGTCATACGTGACATAAGATCAATTTAACGTTGGAGCCAATAACGAAATTGCACACTTGACGACATCGATCGACTTGGATTAATTGCAATGGACAAAAAAAAGATGCTATCGCCGCATAATTAATACATTCGTATTATCTTCACAAATCGCGCTGCTTTATTGCCTTCCCCTTTAGGGAAAAAAAAAAAAAACGGTCAGCGAGAAATTATGTGAAAGATAACAAGCGTAGGCTGTAAGTTATGTGTACATGCATACCAGAATACAATGTATAAAAAGCAATATTTACCGCATATATATATATACATATATATATATATATATATATATAATATATATGTATATAACAAGTAAATGATACAGTATGGCGCATTCGTTTATGTTCTCTCTCATTTTACACGATCGGGAATATATATACTGTGACTGCTAAGTTAAGTCTGTTCCTATTACTCTGTTTGATAAAATTTCAATTATTATTATTATTTTTTTTTTC